TGAGAGGGTAGGACGGCCACAGTTTACCCATATCTGATGCCAGAAACGAGTGCGATCCCGCGCCACTGCCACATCAGGCGACCACCAGGGCTTCGGGGGACGTCGCGACTTGGAGCATCCGGCGATTCGCGCAGCGGTATGTATGCATCGTGTAATTGCTTCGTCAATCTCATCCGGGGTGGCACCGTTGGTGAGCTGACAAGCACCAATAAGCTCGTCCAGAGAAGACAAATATATCTGCAGTTTTTCTGGACAACTCCAATCTAGTACTTCTGAATGGATGGAACCCATATTCAGTGGAGGGCTGGAGACATCGAGACTGGTGCCAGCTGAGGCAGACGGCAGCACCACGCTGCAAAGGACCGGAAGATGTGGGCTCAGGTTGTCCACACAGGGGGCTACGATGCGACAATCATGAACTTGAGGTACCAGACATTGCGGTACAGCGATGTGATCGATGTGCGATTGGCCGTCAGCTCGAGCATAGGTGTACGCCACTGGTTGCGAGAACCGGAACTCGGCGACTGTCAGTCCGTGGTCGTCCAATAAGTCTTGCATTAGAAGACTCAGCGGAGAGAAACCCCGAAGACGGTGCCAGCCCGGTGGGCGCAGTTCTGGTGACAGTGGTGGCAGAGCACAGTTAAAATCGCCTACAAGCACCACTGGAGCTGAGGGTCTTAGCGAAGAGAGTAATGCATCAAGCTTCCCCGTCAGGATTGTGTACTCTTCAAAATTTACGGCAGATGAATTCCAGTACGGCATGTAGCAGCCAATTATCGTTATAAGAGGACGGCTCAGCTCCACAATCGTAACACCACAGATACGAGAGTCATTACACTCTACAGCGCGAAATGTGCGCCCCGCTTGACGGCGGCAAACAAAAGCCACGCCACCGTGGGGTCTGCCATCTCCAGTCCCTGGTGGTAGTTCCATGGCGAATTCTTGAAATACCTGAAATTCTTCGGAGCTTAGAGAGGAGAGTGCATGCTCCAGATAAGCACCCTGGGCACGGGCTAGCCAGGTTTCGCATAAAAATAAGATATCACATTCAGGTATTAGACAGTCGGCGATATACTGCGCTCCTGCGAGAAATCCTTCGCAGTTATAAGTGCCCAGAGTGAGGCTCATGTTCAGAGTTACTTTTGCGTCCACAGCATTACGGCGCTCCGCTCTGTCATGCTTCACAGCGGTGGCAGCAGGACAGGGATGGCCCCCAGGAGTAGCCATCTGGGCGCTATTCCCAGGAGGTGGCCTCTCGTGCGCGCTTATAGGGCCACCCACGGTATCCGGATCCGTCACATTGCGAAGCAGTCGCCCTCCAGCCGTTGCCACCGTGTGTGGCGCCTCCTCTGACGTGACGGGAGGCAGCTGGAACCCAGGGAGCGCCGGCGTCCTGTTCGCTGCCTCGACTAGGGGCGCTTGGGCGGTGAGAGGCGGCTGTTGCCCAGTGTCCGTCTCCATCACGGCGCTGATAGGTTGACACCCATGCATTGTCATCTTGGTGTCCATGGTATCTAGCTGGCACGAATGGTCCATAACGGCGCGGCCTTTCCTCTTCCCAGCCACCGTCACCATGTGTGGCGTTACTTCCGTCGCCGCCGACAGCGTCGACCGCGCTAGATGTACCGACGCCGTGAGTGCAGTCTCTGTTGGGGGCTCTGGAGCGCTGTGAGGTGACTGCTTCCCGGCGGGTCTCATCTTCGTCCCGGTGTTGGGCGGCCGCCGTCCAGGCAGTGTCACAGTGTTCAATGCCTCTGACCACATCACTGTAACGGCGCGGGGCCGTCGCCTGCCAGTTAGCATTGCCATGTTCAGCTCTTTTTGCAGCACTCCGGGTCGTCTGTGATCTTCCAGATGAGGCCGCAGGACGGCGAAAACGCTGTCCTCGGCGCCCAGTGTTCACAGGGTGAGGTAAAAGGCGCACAACCAGGCCAGTCGGCCAGCTGGACGGGTCCAATATACGATCGGTGTCCTCAGCATCAACCTCAATCTTGAACGCCTTGCTTACAGAGGCAGCAGGACCGCGGCGTGATACCCTTTGGAAATCATGGAGATTGCGAACAACCGTCCAGACCAGACTCCGCACGTCACTGTCAGCAACATCCACACGGAAGCCCTCCAGGATGAACTTCTCCTTCCGAGATTCTTGACGAGGCGGCTCCTGAATCAGAGCCGATGGGGGACCAGAGCCGGTCACCATGTTCTGTCGCCGTGTCGGGCCGCCTGGAGCCGCGGCAGACGTGTCGCTGGTCGGTGCCGCAGTCGGCACTGCTGCTTGACTGTGGTTCGCGGGCTGCGCTGTCCTACGCTCAGACACGGTATGCGTGTTCTGCTGCTCTGGCTCACTGTCTGAATCGCCGACCCGCCAATGCAGGGCACCAGCGATCGCCTCACCCAGGGCACGCAGATCCAAGTTGGCGGCAATCTCGCGGGCGGCGGTGCGGTCAGAGTGAGCCTCTTCAGTTACAGCAGTAGCATCATTAGCAGCGGACCTCGCATCGCTGTCATGTCGCCCCGGCTGCACCTGTAATCCAGGGGTGACTGGCCGGCGTGGCTGTGGGCCCTCACGGGCTAGCAGTCCCTCTACAAGGACCTTCAACTGATCAATCGTGTCATCTCTAGCAGCACATTCTCTGCGGAGACCAGTTATTTCCAGTTCCAGCTGTTTCAGACGAGTTTTGTAAGCATCCTGGGTAGCTTGACGAGCGTGAAGCTCCCTAATTTCATTCTCCATTCGCAGCTGGGTGGATATGATCGCCTCGAGTGACGAAGTTATCGCGCTGGGGCACGACATAGCAGAGTCCGAGGGCGCGCTCCGGGTGGGACCGGGGGGTGGCAGGGGATTGCGACCCGCTGGCTTCAGAGTGGCAGCATTAGCACGCTGTGTCAGCATACCTTGAGCCGCCGAGTAGCCCAAGGTCCAGCAGTCATCCGCTAGGCCAGCCAAGTTGCCGGTAACACGGCGGCAGAGAGGACGGCCGGCGACAGCCGGGATGACCGCAGACAGCGCAGCATGCAGCAGTTCTCGGAGCTCTCTCAGGTCGGGTTCGTCCATGGATGCCATGATACAGCACACCGCAGCTGGGTCGTAGCGCCCACTGAAAATGCAATCCGACTCAGCGATTAGACGTTTCTTGTCGGCTGACGTCGCACTAGTGGGGATCAGCTGGTCCAGGGTCGGCGCCCTCGCGCTCGTCGCCACCCTGTCGTGGGATGCTTTGTCGTCATTCTCGCCGGTATGCGTAGAGTTAGTCGCACTCGTCAGCTGTTCGGGGGTCGCGGTAGGCTGATCGGTGAGAGGAGAGATAGGACAAAAAATGCTCTTCGGTACAGTTTCTTCAGCGTCCGTAATCGTTGATGCTACGATTTTTGCCTTGCTTATCCTGCTCCGTTTGGTCTTTCTCGCCACAACCCATTCTCCCACTGTTTGATCGTAGCCACTAACCGAGGTGTCAGAGTCTGACATTATTGGCTATAAGGATCTCTCTTCAGAACTAGCACGAGACTTACTACTAAAAATCTAGAGCAGAATTAACGCGGTGGTGAGTCTAAAATTTCAAAACTGGGTCAAAATAATCAATTTTTTAAAGCCTATAATTCAATTATTTCACCATTCAACTCAACTGCAAATACCACCAAAATATTCTACGTTAAATTAAGATTCGTTTCATGCTTATCTCAAAGTCATTATGCGGGTCCATTACGCCAAAATAGGCAGTAAACTAGAGCACTGCTAAACACGTCTGCTCATTCCAATAGCTGCTAGTCTATCTAGTCTAGTATAAGAGTACGCACTTAGTGGATTTCTTGCTCTCATTTGTTAAATATTTGAAGGAAAGAAATCGCAAATAGGGAATATTAAAGTTCATTGAATTAGCCATCAACCCATGGGGCAACGATCCTTCAGCGTAAATGGAAGTGGTCTGAAACTGACATTTTCTGAACCGCTGCAGTTGCGTACTCTTACCATATGGGGTGTGTAAGAGTACGCACGCCAGGCGGGTGGAGTACGCAAGCATATGAACATTCACCTATGCAGCTTGTACTGTCCAAATGCTTAACTTCAAACTCAGAAGGCATTTAAGTTAGTTCTAGTATCCAAAAAGAAAAACATAAAATAAATCTTTCAAGTCTATAAATCAGGAAATAATCATGTCGTGTTTCTTTTAAAAAAATGCAAAATCAAAAGGGAGATAACTCGTATTTGGAAGAATTTCGGGTACGCATCTGCATCACAGTGCTCCATTGATGATATACCTACAAAACAAACGTCATTGAGCGATAGATTAATGATTTTATATTTCTGTATATTCGATTTGATGTATAATTCTGCGTACTCTTACCCTCCTGAACAGTGCGTACTCTTACCGTACATGCAATTCGCGCACAAAACAACCCCGAAACGTTGTGCAAAACTTCGGAAACATAATATTGCACTGCACAGTATTTCCCCAGATAACCTCACAAGTTTCCCACAACAATCACGGAAATGTACCTTATCTCAACTGCCAAGTATCAAAATTATTGTACCATACCATAATAATATCATAACGCTCGAAAATAATATTCATCGCCTTAAACTCAACAGCGTCGCCGCTCAACGCCCACGTTCCGTTGGTGACAAGCACGCACTGGCGGCTTCATGTCACTTCATGAACTCGACAAGCCCGCGTTGCTAAGCAACCAAAACAGCTGATGCGTACTCTTATCGCCCGCGTACTCTTACCCGCCCTTACCCTATATATCAAAAGAAATATAATTTTTGAATATTAACGTAGTAGATTGATGTATAATTATTTATTTTATATGCATAACCAAAAATAAAGCTAAAAACCGGTTCTAAGAGGCTATAGTTAAGCGAAACAGAAAAACGGCCCTCCTGAAAAATTTACTCGAGCCGAAAATGAGCACGTAATGGGTTTTTCCTTTGGACGGCAGAGATACCAAAGTGCAGAGCGAGTGAGACTGTTTGAGCACTACGTGAACTCGACCCGTCTCACCTCTGATGGGCAGCCGGGTCTGCCTCATACAGCTGAAGAACGTGTCTGCCACACTGGGCAGCTTCCTGAGTGCCTCCATCTCCAGCGGCGCCGGCTCCTGTTCTCCCTCGAACGGGCTGGTGAAATCCACGGCCATCAGACCGGGTGACGGCAGACGAGACGACAGCGGCTGGTCGCTCGACAGTCTGAGGGACGGGAAAGGGGGGGATGGTAAAGTCTGCCATCGGGCGACAGCAGGCGGGACGACAGCTGCAGCTGGTCGCTCGACAGCCTGACGGGGAGGGGGAGGTCATTAGCAGCGGAAGGCCGATCAACGACTGAGTCGGTATTTGCTTGTGGGTATGGACAACAATGTAATAAAAAAATTGATAAAACGCGCAAGAATTGGCGAGCAATGTGAAATCATTCTATCAGATTTATCTTCTTTCACTGAACACAACATGTCAGCCGCACGCCAGTAATATGACACCTCATACAGACGGTCTGAGCTGATACCGCCATCGCACCGCACTTCCAAGACCAATGCTTCATGTCAGTATCATACATCTTCGCAGACGCGCCAGACCGCCCCTAGTCTGCCGCCAGTACTAGAAACGGACAGAAGCCACCCGTATTCACAAGCACCCCCTCCCCTACCCTGTCGGTAGTCACTGCCGGAACAGTCGTCCAACCCATCCCCCCACTACCCAGTCAGTAGTCCACTGCCGGAGCAGTCATCCAACTGCCCCCTCTACCCTGTCGATACTCACTGTCCGATGGCCTGTCGAAGCAGCTCGTCACCGCTGAGCACTCGCAGCGTGGCCGGCGGCGGCTGGTCGGCCAGCACGCGCAACACCAGCGCCACCTGACGCACCTCGCCGGGCGACAGGGAGACGCGAGCCGGAATGGCACTGAATTCGGACGAGGTTGCCGGGTGCTGGCACTCCGAGTCTGCCGGGAGGGGGTACGTGAGAGACCGGGAGCGAGAGCAGTACGGCAGTAGACAGATAGACGGGGACACAGATGTGTTCGGAAACAACAGTTCCAAGGACGAAATTCGCTGGCAGCACTCTCATTCTGTCCGCTACGCTCAGAGCTTTTCTCTCATCTCAGTCGCTTCCGCACCACGTCTATCTCTATCTTCTACCTCGCATACCGTCCTAACTTTCCTGTCCCATCACCACCCACAATGATCAGTGCTTCCCTCTCACTGCACTCACTTCCAAACCTCTCACCTCGCTCACTTGCTCACGCCTCTCACCGTCGCTCCTCTCTCACCTCTATATGCCAGAACGGTGACGAAGGCCCGTCGGTCGCCCACGTTGGTCAGAGTGAGCGGCGCGCGCACGGTTGCTCCCGGCGACAGCTCCCCCAGCTGGAGACCCTTCTCCAGTGAGACGCTCAGCTGGACGTCCGAGGCGCCGCTGTAGGCCACCAGCGGGATCTGGGGCGCGGGGAAGGTAAGAGGAAAGTCAGTAGAGGCCAGAAGTCGGCAGAGGATTGGTCGCGGGTATGTATAACTGGAGGAGCTGAATAAGAGCAGCATCTTTCAGCTGTGCACTGAGGAGAACGACGAATGAAAGTCATGACGGAGCGCAGGAATTAGCGCTAACGATGAAAAATTAAAGTCCGAGGATGGCCTCACAAAAATAAATAGTAAAAATTCGATTTTTTGTTTGTTTGTTTGTTTGTTTCGTTGGGTTAGGCCCTTTCGGTCCACTTAGACCATTGCAGAGCCGGGAGGATGACAGGAATTAGGGGGAGACATTGGTCTGGGCAGGCCTAGAGAGTCACCGGGGCTGAGCCCGTCCAAATGGACAGGCCGACCAGCCTCCAAGCACTCTCTGCACCCGGCTACGGGTGTGCTCCCCGACCCTTAGGAGCTGCGGTGCGCTCCTATGGGGGCCGCCCGCATGGGATTAAGTTTCTGCCCAGCCCGGATCAGGGATTGCGGCGTGGAGAAGGATTTTAATGTCCAAAGGATGGAAACGACGGAACGGGTCGATGAATATTCGAATAGTACGTGCGGCTACGCAGCAGCGAGCTCGAAGAACTGAAATCCTTATGACCAAAACAAACAGCTACAATCCAATGTAGGTACCGATCACCCATCCAAAACATTACCGTTCGATCACTATTACAACCTCTCTTGTCACTCACGGTGAATTTGCTGCCGACGGCGCCGCGCTGTCGCACCACGGGCTTGATGACCAGCGCAGCGGCCGTCACCTCGACCTTGTTGGGCTGGTAGACCAGGGTGACCTCGCGCCCGGAGCGTGCCGGCAGGTGCAGCTCGGTGGTCGTACCTCCGTCGCCGCCGCCACCGCCGTCCTCCTCGTCAAACATGCGGAACTGGGGCGAGCGGATACCGCGGGGAGGGTTAGACAGGGAGAAAGGGAGCATGGTTCAACGCAGGAGCAATCAGGTAGGCTGTGGCCATGGACAAAGACTGTGGCTACAGGCGATCAAGAGCTGTGTCAAGAGCAAGAGCGCTCGCATTGTCTGAAAGAGTTCATATTGACTCATTTTACAAATGATTTAATGACGATATTGCTCCAGTTTCAAAACTACTGAAATAGCACTCCAGCTCCTCGACGGCCGGCAAATCAACAGACAACTACTTCTTGGATATGCAGAACCTATCACTGTAAAACCCGTCATCCGAGCCCACCCTGAGTCCGTCACCCGATACCATCCGACCGACTAAGTTCGCGGCGCCCCTCTCACCGTGAACTGCGGCCCGTTGACGATGGCCAGCCGCAGCGACAGGCCGTCCGTCTCTGAGCTGTTCCTCAGGACCAGGGTGCGGGCGGCGGGCCTGCCCCGGCACACACCGGTCCACAGCAGCAGCCGCTTGTTACTGTGGAGCGCCGGCGCCGCCACTCGGTGCGACTTCCTGCGGGGAGCGCAGAGAACGAGCAGTGAGTATACAGGGTGTCCCATAAGTTCCTTCTCACCTAAATTTTTCTTTAAGAGGCTCTCTTATTTAAAGCCACGCTTAATTTATTTTGTAACTGAGCTTTTGGGGTTGCCATGGCAACTGTGAATGTGTTCCACGGTAACTAATTCGTCTAGACAAAATATTTTTTGCCAGAGAGTTCACTTCCTGTGGAGACGGCTTACGCCGCAACATAGAGGTCTCCGATACGGGAACGTCTCGGTATTTAGACCGCACTGGGCCATTCACGACGGTTGAGGGTGATTGAGGCCATCCAGTATGTAGCCAATGTCTGTCGCTAACTGGACGCACAGTCAACAAGTGACGCCGATGATTTGTCGGGAGTCAATCGCTGCAAGTTTATGCTCTCTTTTTGTCAGCTTTCACGAGTGAGCCATGTGGCCAAAACTGTGTGGCGCCAAAATGGCCGTCAAAAAGGTCTTAGCGTTAGAAAGTTGGTAAACAGGCTTTTCAGGATGTATCACCAGCTGTCTAAGAGTATCATTTCGGGGTACCTAACTCAAGGTGACTTAAGCTCTACTTACCGGAGGGCTCAAAACAGTCAAAAACGTCTTAAAATGGCCAAACATGTGTTTCGTTATGCCTGAGGCTAAAAAAACTGAAGGGTCGATGACATCAATGTGGTCATCTGGACTACCTAGTCCGTGCTCGAGATAAAACACCCGTCCAAACCCCAAAACGGTCCCATATGGGCGACGGCAAGGCCATCTATAGAGCGACGGAAAAGGCCTTTGTGTCATCCAGCTTTATTCCTATGCAAAAGGCCAGGGTCACGGTAATGTGGGGTAATATGCGTCCAGACACTGATCACGTTGCGAATGATGCTCCAGAAAGTCTTGGGACGCAGAATGCTTCTCCAAGAAGATCTAGGAGGAGTTTCAGCTTTCTAGCTTAACTTGAACCGCAAGTATGACCACATTTTTTTAGTAGAAAATGGCATCCGGGAGGTCGTAGGCCCATCTTCAAGCAAGACGGTGCATCAGTGCAGAGGTCAAGCAAAGCATAAAAGCAGTGCCAGGAGACTGTGATAGGCGTGTGTGGCAAGATCACATCCCAGGCAACTCATCAGATCCAAATTTCATAAAAATGTGTTGGGAATATTGAAATCGAGACTCATCGAAGCGAAGCGGTGTTCCAGCATTGAGGAGCTCACGGCCCATGCCAAGTCGGTCTGGGCTAACTTCAAGCCTGCTATGCTGCCAAACATGCCGGTTGGCATGTCGCAGCATGTATTCATGTGTTTGCTTATGAAATGGGGAGCGCATTGAGGGGTTATAAACATATCAAAACGCAATGTACTATGTTTTACATGCAAATAAAAGGTGAGAACGAACTTATGGGACACCCTGTAGAGTCGGTTAGACAGACTCATAGGGTGAGGACAGGCTAACAATAGGGGAGACCCGGGAGGTATGGGCCGGTTTTGTGAAAAGGCAATTTTCTTCCAGTGGGCAGTGGCTACACCCGGTTTTTCACTCTGTGCACGTGAAATTGCCTTTCGCCTGCAAAGTGTGCCTGATATTAGGCATCTGGTATGAACTATTTTGTCTCGAGATAACTTTTAATAAATCATGCGCTTTTTCGATCCATCAAAATGCACCGGGAGGTATGGGCCATGGCCCGGGAGGTATGGGCCGGTGCCATGTTTCATATCTTTTTCTCGACAATGAGAACAATGCTCGTAGCTGGTATCTACCTTGATCTCTCTTAGAGCCCAGGAACCGCATAAGCGGCGAACAGCTTACTTCATGCAGGTCACTTGGGCACATACGTATTTTGGTAAACTCAATCATGCACCATGAAATAAAATATATAATATTTTTCTGTTCGAATGAAATTTAAAGCTAAGTTTTCAACCTTGCGCGACAAAAATAAAACTTATTAAAGGTGACAATCAATGAAAGCATCTTTTTATTGATTTAGGATCAACAGGGGGGGTGGCCCGAACCTCCCGGTTAGGACGCCAGAATTTGCGTAGCATCTTAGCTCACAATCTTGCAAGAAAGCTTCAAATTGTCTCTCCAGCCCTAATTGGCATGCTTTAAACTTAATGTTAGCATTGGTCTGACATCATAAAACGAGCCTGGTTCAAATTTATCACGAATTTTCTGTATGTACAGTATTTTACTCGAAGAGGGCAAAAACGCTTTATTTCCCCTCACTGCCAAAGAAGACTAAGGAAGATTTTGAAAATCACGTGGGTTGTATAACGGTATGGCTGCTACCAGTTTACGCGGTCAAATGTGTAAAAACACGCAACACTTCTTCAAAACTGCGATGGCCCATACCTCCAGGGGGCCCATACCTCCCGGGTCTCCCCTACATCTATTTTCTAGTACGGTAAAATGAAACATCCGGTCAGGTACGTTATGAGAAACGTATCAGCTATGATCTTCGCAAGTTCAAAGACAATTTCATTGTTACGACAAGACGTGAAGTTCATCGTGAAGAACTGCTTTTTCAGCTGAACACTGCAATCGTCCGTCACGTACGGCAGCAGCAGTAACGACCCCACATTATACAATTATTAGCATGCCCAGTGCCCACCGGTCGCAATATGACCCTGCTCCACGGGCACTCACGGCGGCTGCGGCGGCGGCTCGGCCGGCTGTCGGAGCGCCGGCTGGGCGGGGGCGGGGGCGGGGGCGGCAGGCCCGTCTCCGGCCGGTGCCAGGGCCAGCACACTGGTCTGTACGCTGGTGTCCCGCACCTCAGTCCAGTGGCCGTCCCTGCCGCCGCCCCTGCCACTGGCCAGCGGCGGCCGCGGACTGGCTGATCTGTTCGGACAAGAGAGCGCAAAACATCGTCAGCTAAACATATTCGTTCGTCTTGCGATTCATGTTCTCATACTTTGATTTTGACGCTACACACTCAAAACGCCACCCACTCCGGCTATAAGATGGGGTTCCCGTTGTGACACACGCACACAGTTATACGCGAGTCACTCTGGCCGCATGAGGACTCCGCGGCAGCATAAGTACACAACTCACAAACGCTTTTTCAGCCAAGATGCCGTTTAGCCAATATCGCATTCGCGGGCGATTAATACCACCAATATCAATACCATTCGCCCAGACACGAGTACGACGGTCTTGGCACCATCGCAATCACCTACTCTGTGACCTTTTGTGACCTCGCACCCGCCTTGTAACCCCTCGGTGACCTCCTCACCTGCTCTTTGACCTGCTGGCGGACCGTGAACGGGACGGGGAGCGCCGCTTCCTGGTCTTCGAGTGCCGGCGGGCCGACTTCATCTCCGGAGAGCTGGGTCTCAGACGGTCCACGGTTCGAGAGTCGCCGATCACGCCTAGAGGAAAGAGGAGAGCGAGATGGTCAGTCGCTCAAGAGACTCGCACCGACATGTGTAGAAGGAAATGCTGCTATTTTTTCTAGCTTTCAGCGACTATAGACTGAGGTTCTGTAGCTTTCCGACGTCATAATGGAGGTCGCAACTCGCAACCGGCGTTAGTCAAGCAGAATACGATTTAGCGCTCAATAATAACATTCGCTAGGTCATGCCTCCACTTCAGTCCAGACTACTGCAATATTTACATCAAGCGTACTATAAAATGTCAGCAGATGTTTTCAAAAATCGAAGGTCAGGAAGAAAAATAGATAATGAAATCTCACCCACCTCCGATACCAATGGAATCGACCTTTCCAACGACATCCCAATCAGCGCACCCAAGACAAATACCCAACCCATGCAGTCAGAACCACCTTGTTAATTAATGGTCCTCCCCGCCGTCTTACCAACAATGTCCACCTCGTAGACGGTTCCGTCGGGCTGCACGGTGAGCAGCAGCTGGCCGCGGCCGCCGCTGTGACGGTCGCGCGGCTGGAACGTCAGCATCACGTCCCTCTCGCCGCGCGGAGGCACTGTGACGTGGTCTGGCCGCACCCACACCGAGTCGCGCAGGCCGGTCACCGACAGACGCAGCTCGAGCGGGATGTTACCTGGGGACACGGGAAGAGGTGACGGGAAGTTACAGAGGGTGAGGGGAGGGATGACGTGAGTCGTCACAGCCTATGGCGGTACGACATAAAATAAATTAAGGTGGAAAAAGGATAAGGACACTGTTCGGGTCCCGGCTCCGCAGCTGTAGAGGCGATCTCGGTGTCAATCTTATATTCTCATACGCACACGGTACACAGAGCACACCTCACGTAAGCGCGGGAAGCGCGAGGCTGGCCGGCCGCCGAGGGCCAGCCGGGGCCGGGGTACTGCGAGGTCGCCCAAAGGTCACGCTCGCTGATTGGTCGGCGAGATAGAGGTGCAAACCCCCCACAGACACCTCTTCGTTTTGGTCGGTCGACACACCCTAATCGACATGGCACAGATTTACGGGGGCAGATACATTTTTTCATCTGTCCCCGCCAGCTCACACAGAACTAAGCAATCTAGCGATACGACAATCCGTCCAGCTGAAAATACAGCAACCCCTCCCCACCTCTGTTCTCGTTTTATCTCATTCACCCATGCCTCTATTCAGCCCACCCCCTTTCGCCAATCGCCCCAGCTACGCACCTGCGTTCTTCATGGGCAGGTTGACGGAGGCAGTCTGTGCGGGTCGACAGCGCAGCTCCAGCGGCTCCTTGACGCGTGTGCGCAGCTTTACCCTTCCGACGGTAGCCAGGAGGCGGCAGCGCAGCAGTGGCTCGGAGGTGGGCGGCACGGCGCCGTCCAGTTCCACCTCCAGAGAGCCGCGCATCAGCTCCGGCAGCGGACACTCTGCTGACGGAGGGGAGGGGCGGGGGGGGGGGGGTCAGGGGCGGAAAGTCTGCCAGGGGACGGAGGGGATGGGGATCAGAAACGGACGCCTTTGCATTCTGTCTTTTGCGCGGTCAAAGCTGCGGTCAGCTAAAATAGTAAGGAGTAGATAACCGGAACGACACGGCGCGTACACCCGCGAAGTGGAAACAAGGACGGATACAGAGCGTGCTGGACAGATCGGCGCACATAACTACAGTGACGATCCAACGGACACCCTCACTAGACAGTCGGGAAGGGGCTGGGTGTCCAATGCCGATTATCCAGGGGCTCCTCGCAATTACAGATGCGATTCACTAGCCAATGTCAACTGGAGTTTACATTCTCGGCAACCAGTACTTTGACATATTTCTGCAGCAGCATCCATTCCGCCTATTGAACACACACTATGACGAATTCCCTGGACTCATTCCCAACAAAACCAAATTACACAATACACAACCTCCCGCCGCGGTAAACACGCTCAGCTGTAATAGCCCGCTCACATCTCTCTCTCTCTCTCTCTCTCTCTCTCTCTCTCTCTCTCTCTTCTCTCTCTCTCTCTCTCTCTCTCTCTCTCTCTCTCTCTCTCTCTCTCTCTCTCTCTCTCTCTCTCTCTCTCTCTCTCCTCTCTCTCTCTCTCTCTCTCTCTCTCTCTCTCTCTCTCTCTCTCTCTCT